CTTCTTTGGTCTTTTTGTCTTAAGCATCTGCATTACTGGAGGACAATACATTAATCAGACATCTCACAAGCCAGAATCGTATGTAGCCTGATCAGTTTTGGGGTAAAATTTAGCTAGACTGCCTAAAAATGCTTATTGGTCTCTATGGATTTGTGCTGAATTTATTTAATATAAAGTGTAATATAAAAAGCCCTCTCTGCAGTTAATTAGCCTCCAGGTTATTGCAGGCCCAAAGGCATTATATTTGAGTTGTCACTGCTACTTGCAAAGATCAGCAGTATTTAATTTTTGTGTAGCACGAAGTAGATTGCATGTGCTTATCTGGCTAATGTTCATTGTTTTCAGAATCTAATTTCATTTTTAGTTTTCTTGGCCCTTCAAATTGCTGCCAAACATCATGAACTTTGCTGAAATCAGTTATGTTCCACTGAGATAGTAGCAATTGAAATGACAGCAGCAGTAAACCTGAAGGTTCTTCCAGAATGATGCTTTTGTAGCTAGCGGCAAGATTTGTTTCTGTTACATTATAAACCTAAAACAAATAGGGCTCAGTTCAGACTCCTTTGGGATTGGGCAGACCTAAGCTTATTAATTATTCCTGTTTCCTAAGGAGACAGCATCAGCTTTCCTTCATTTGATAATCCTGTTTTCTCAGAAAATGTTTACACATGTTCCAATACCAAGTTAGCAGTGGCAGGAACTCTTTAGTGGTTAGAGAAGTGGCAGAAGGTTAAATCATCTGACTTTGATGTTATGTTGATTGTTTACCCTTAGTGTACAGTAACATCTTAAAAAAATGAAGCAAAGTGGGTGTATTCATTACTGGACAAACACAGCTGACAAGTTAAAGAATATGCGACTCTCTTAAGCTGAGACCAAAGTGCTTCATTTATAATGGAGATTACGGTAAGAACCAAATGAAGTTGTCTAAGGGAAAATGATGTCTCCTGAGCCTTTATTCTGGTTTGGCCACAAGTTAATAACACGACCAGCACTTAACAACAAAATGCAGGACTGTATTATCTTTTAGCAAATGCCAGTCATGTGCAATCCAAACAGGTCAATTACTAGGAAATCTCCGAAGATCTCCTGAAACCTCAGAAGAGTTAGAGATGCCAAGAAAATGTCTAGATGCACAGAGACACAGGAACAGAAATAGGGCACAAACCAATTTGCAGAAATGGAACTTAACCCTTAGAGGGAAGAACCCTGGCTGCTACATATTCATTTCCATTTCATTAAATATTTATGAAGAGACATGCATGTAATGTGATTCTAAATTATGGAATAAGCAAACGGGATCTGTGCTGTTTCACTCATGTTTAATCTATTTCTTTCAACTTTTCTGTATCTTGCAGGAGTAATAGACATTTTTTTCCCCACTAGCATGCTAGATATTTGAAAATTAACATGTTCTCTTAAATGATTCTAAATCAGCACACACAAAATAGAGTGTAGAGGCCAATGATAGCCTATTCTTCAGCTCAATACGCATGTCTAAGACCTATTAATATTAATGAAACCTGCACACAAGCATGTGGGGATAATTGACCCCATTAAATTCCACTTACTCATGAACTACTTTGTAAGGTTTGTTCCTTAGTTATTGTAGGTTTTATCAAGGATGAAAGCTGGAACAGCACGTATCCCAACAGAAGAGTATTTCAAAAATAGCTTTGCGAAACTGAAAAGTAAGTACCACAAAGAAACATGTTTTCATCCAGACTACCACTGTACAATGAAAATAACTTTATCTTGCTCTAAACAGGATGGTAACATCAGATATTTTTCTCTTTCTTTGACTAGCTTTCATACTAAATGTTAGCATATTGCTAGCAAAGTAAAAAAAAATAAATCGTGAACCCAAGTTTTTATATAATGTATGATTTAGTCATGTGCCAACAGGCTCCCCTGTGAGATACCAGCTAATCATCACTGGCAGCTCCCACCCCCTAGCACATTTCTGTTTATCTTATTGTTCTGAAACTAGCCATGATGCACAAACACATATTGTGTTTACAGACAGGATGGTGCACCTCCCTTCACCACAATAGCTTGGCATGATGGTCAGTGCAGCCCCATTCACACTTCTGGGTAAGATCAGGTCTCACACTGCCCATGTTCCTGGGCACACAGAAGGGAGACATATTCCTACACTGTGACAGTGTTGTCTTAAGGATTTTGTTTCCATTCGGACATTTGATTTATGTGAATGTCTCAAATGCAGCATTGTGAAGAAAAAAACATGCTCAGAAAGCACTGATAGAGGAACACCATTAACTGCATCTGCTCTTACCCCTTCGGTGACAAACTCATGGGAAGTGGGGGAAGCACAAGATAGGTATCTTCCCAGTGTTCCTTAGAGAGATGGTAACATTTACTGACCTGGTGTGCTCAGCTGAGATCACCAGAAAGCTTTACTCTTCCTCACATAATCCTAGTCACAGAGTTCCCAGGACCCAGGGAAATTCACAATGCCCGGAGAGTTCACTTGTCTCAGTCCATTCCTGTGGAGCAAAACACTGGTGGGGCTCAATTCTCCACCCATATTTCCCTGCACCATACATATTGTACAGATATAATTTGGGGCTGTGACCTTCAAAGGTAGCTAAGGAAGGGAAGGATGGGAAGGTAGCCAAACATGGGAAGGATGAACAGTATTTCAAACACATACCTGGAGATCTGGCCTTTGATTTTATTTTATTTTTTTTATTCTGACATTCTGGGAATCTTGTCTTCACTGAGTTTTCTTTAATGTTTTTTCCCATTCTGTCTGAAAAGGGGAGTAAACCAAGGGAGTTATTCTGTTGTCTATTTAATGGCTTATCTCTAAACGTATGAAGATCACTAAGTTCACTTGAGAGAATGTGTCTAGCATCTGTCCTGATTAGTGCTAAGTGGAATTTGACACTGTAGACAACCATATAAGAATTACTGTTGTCTTCTATCAAATACATGGTATATTCTCTCTGACCAGGAATGGCTGATCTCTTTCAAGCTGATGTTTTCTTTAGAAGAAGCAGTCTGCATCATACAACTGCTTTTGCATTTACATGCAACTGTAATACAATCTCCCCAGACATACAGAGGAAGAAGAAATGCTAGTGATAGAACTAGTATTGCTGTAGCTAGTACTTAGATACTATTCAAAATAATTTTCCTGACAGTGCTGCTACTATTTTCTTGGTAACAATCTCAAACAAATCTCACGAACAAGATCAAATCTTTCCCAAAAGGAGCACTCAGACAACATAAGTTGTTGTACTCCTTATTCTTTGTGCACAATACAGAAATTAGTATTTTTACAGTCTTTCACCTGGTGCACCTTTAAAACCCCTTGTTCAGAGCTCCAGTGCACCTGAAGAAAGGCCCAAAATCACACTTACCTTCAGCTGGGCCTACACTAGAAGCAGTGTCTCCATAAGCTTCAGACACAATGCTACTTGCACTGGACCCAGAATGAATAATCTCCAGACATGAGTTACTGGCACAATTAGAGCAAGAGCACAGCTGACTGACATACTCAACAAAAGAGCTTTGGCAAAGGTTGCAGTGGAAAAGCATATAGAGGAAATTCACTCTTGGCATTGAACGTACCCTAGTAAAAGCAGGACCTACTACTGATTAACAAGCTCAGACTCTGCAGACCAAATACCAAAGGATGAACAATGGCAATAACACTCTGTTATGTCTCTCTCCGGCATGCATTCAATTTATCATTAACTTATATTCCATAGGCAGCTCCAGCAGTACATTTTCACAGTCTAATTGATGCATGTGAGATTTGGCTTGCAGCTTTCAGAAAAAATCACAAGCACAGAGAATTCAGTTCCATCCAGCAAGGAAACCAAAGCCCAGCAATATTAGTTACAACTGCAGTTGTGTCTCCAAGGGTGCACATTTAACTGGGCAGCTGGGCTTTCCTCATAAAGAAGAATATCTTGCTGATTTCTCCACAGAGCTCTACTAGATTTGGGAAACACAACTGTCTTTTACAAGAGGCAGGAGAACCCCTCTCTGAGGAATGTATTTTTTCCCATGTCAATCAATTTGATTCTTTTTTCCAACTTCGGTATGTTTGCTTCAGAAGTCAGGCTTACTAGTTCCTAGTTCCCAGGGTCACCTCTGAAGCCTTTCTCACAGACTTTCATCTTCCTTTTCCCTACCTGTGGTACTAAGGTCAGTGCAAACAATTGTTACTGGCAATTTCACATGAGTACCTTCAGAAATTGAGAGCGAATGCCTCTGCTTCAAGTGTTGTACTTGTTTGACTCTTTAATCTGCTGAAGTCCTGAAGACACTTTTGGTCTGACAGGAACCCCCCTGTCCTGATTACTGATGCATTTACTTTTCTTGCAATGGTTTTATTTTCTATAACTGTTCTTTTTACAGCTCTGTCATGTGTTGGCACCACCAGCTCACTGGTAGCCTTCTATAGGCTGAGAAAACTAAATGTAGTTTTATATTAGATTTCTATGTTTAGCAAGACACTCTTAAAAACATTGTTTTTATTTATTTATTGTGGTTTTAGTTAACTTCTTTGAGTCTATTTCTTCATTGGACACAACTTACTTTCTTACATGGCTTTTTACTTCTCATAGCCTTATTCTCTGCTGTTTTGATGGGGTAATTGCTTTTGATATTTGAAGAGGTTGTTTAATGATACACATTTATGCTGAACCTTTATTATTGCTTTAAGCAAACTCTGTAAGGACTGTTCTAGCTGCTCCTTTATATACATGTACTTTGCCATTTTAAGTTAAGTTGGTGCAAAGCTGGATATTTCTAACTTTGTCTTTCTGTGAGGAGTTAAATTTGAGAATGGCAATATTAGTACATAATTCTTTCCCTTGTAAATAGAAGGTTGGCACTTTAGCTCTGCTGAGTGTCTGACCACTAAGTGGTATTGGCATCCAAGTATCTCAGTTAGTGTCTTACATCATCCTTCACTCTTCATGTAAGCCTCAGCCTTCTTATTTTTTATTATACTGTCATTCCAGAGCTGAATGGTGCAGCTGCCCACAGGAGTAAATGGCATGCAGCCTGGCTCTTCTGCAGCAGCCATGGAAGAACCTTCTTGGGGTTACCCACTGTGAGGTAAGATGCTGGGCACATGTGCTAGAGGAGGCATAGTCCCCAGTGGAAGGAGCTGCAGACAGATATTAGCTTGAGTTTCCAACTTCTCAAGTCCTGTGAGAAACAAAGTAATTTATTTTTTTTGGTGAAATGCAACTGTGTGAGGAGACTTCTGAACTCAGTGACAGTCATCTTGGTAGGCACTGCCTTGTGTCACATGCCTGGAACCCAGGCAGGGTAGACATGCTAGGTCTCATGATGAACGGGACTTTGGATCAAGGCTCCATCCCTTACATTATTTGTAGTAAGAATAAATAAAGATGGAATTATAACAAAGAGAAGAGAGAGGGCAGTTCTGGGGAGCAAGTGAAACAAGCATTCAAAAAGCACGTATACAAGAACCACAAGAAAACAGTGGCTAACTGTGAGCTGTGGTGGGATGGCAGAGCAGGGTCTGGGAACAAGCACAGGCATGTGTAAATGCAGGCTCCCAGCTCTTACCTGCGGACCTGAGTAGCCCAGGCAGATGAGCTGGAAGCCCTCCCAGCCCTGGCAGTGGGGTGCTGCCTGCCAGGTCTGTGTTCCTGTGAGTGCAGCTGCCTTTGTCTGAAAGGGAAAAGAAAGCACGAGATATATCACAGGTTGGGCGGGTACAGCAGGTGATGTAGCCTGTGAGTACACACCAGCCCGAGCCCCATGAGGGTTCAATTACCTGACAGAGTAGAGCAGGTAAATTGAACTGAAAACCCACAGACAGCAACAAAAGTAGGGCAACATCCGCACATGAAGCCTGAGCAGCTTAGCTTACACTAATGGAAAAAGGGATTTGAATAGCTAAAACCTACTACATCAAACTGAGATGAAAATACAACTCTAAGCATATATTTCTGGACTGCAAGAGGACTGGTAGAGAGAGAAATGATATCCATCTTACTTCTGTCCTGGACAATTTGCTTTTATCCCTCATTTTTTAATAACACAGAGAGATGCTGTTATCAAATCACATCTTTTTGCATGTAAACTCAAGAACAACTGGAAACCTGGTTCCAGGCTTAGGAGTGAGATGTATATATGTACCTTCATGGCACATATACACAGCATACACATACTTATCCCCAGCCCCCATGTTTCTCTGCTTCCAAGTTTCTGTATTTCATTATGCACCCTCACAGAAAGTGATGGCAAACAACTACACAGAAAAAAGAAGTTATTAAAAAAAAAAATCAAACCTGGTACAAGCTGTTTCTAAGAGATAAATATAAAACTGGTATTATATTTTGAACTCTCAATTAATCAAATGCTGTACATGAAAGAGGAAAGGGCAGATTCTGCTCAGATTTGTAGCTCTGTAAAAAATCTGAAAAATTTGCTATTACTGTGTTTGTAAGTACCACAGAAGAATCTGCCATTTTCCTGTAATGGAACTGTATGGAATAATAGAACTTTGAATTTCAGGAACTTGTTTCTTGGTGAAGATTCTCATTTCACAACTAAGATTAGCTGAACTCTTCACCCACTCCCACAAGGGAGAGGGTGCCCTGCAACTAGACAGATGGCTCCTGCAGAAGGTCAGCAGAAATGTTCATGCATACTTATTTTTGCACAATATTCATTGATTCAAACTGCTCCTGAGCCTCTCTCCCCCCTTTTTAATAGGAATTTTATCATGTTTTTAAATCTTTGCCAATATCAACGTGGCCAATTTAATTTCACACAAAAAAGTGTGGGAGCAGCAGTCTCAGTTCCCCTGGATAAACACTGGACTACGTGCTGTTTGTGTTTGACTATGTCAGCCATGAGCTCTGTAAGTATGAAGTCCTGCCAGGCAAGACATAAATCTTTTGTCAATGAAAGGGGTACATTATCAGCTTCTCAGCTGTTTCTTTTCTAAACAGCTACCTGAGGTTTAACATAAACATTCAACACAGTTATTTAAAATAAAATAAAATAATAGTAAAAGAACACTTTCTCTCATGCATTGAACATTAATGGCAAATCAGAGAGAGCAGGAATCAGTCCTCACGGCAGGTCCCAGCTCAATCTAGAAATGTGGTAGTGTACATTTGGACTTCTGAAGAGGCAGAGACTTTAATAATACTTTGGCTGTAGCACACTTCATGCCTCTGGAGTCCGTCCCTTGTAGTGAAGGTGCCAGATTAAATCCTGAGAAAACTGGGTAAAACTTTGCTAGGTTAATGAAGCAATCTCCCCAGGAATATGTTCAGTCCAAGCATGGATATTGGAAGAGAGGTATGATGAATGGGGATTCTTATTCTCAGTGAAAGTATTGTTCCAGCTATCTTCACATCTAAAAGTATAAAGAAATTAAACTGCTGACCCACCAAAGACCAACAGCCTAAAGGTTCATGAATTTAGTAGCTCTCCATGAATCCAGTCAATCTCTACTCCATTTTCAACTCCTGTAAATGTTGAATTTGGAATTCTAGACTCACTCCTGAAGTAAAGTAGCAATTACAAAACCCACAGAACTGTGGGGAGTACAGAGCAAACGGGATCCACATTGAGATATGGCTTCTAGCCATCGGGTTCTCTAAACAGCTTGCTGAGAGCTTTACCAAGCCATGCTGGGTACAGAGAGTCAACTGTGCAGGCTTAAGGCACACAAAGGAAAATAGCATGCAACATGCCAAAATACAGAATTGTGCCTTAATCACAGATTTCAAATTTGGATCTAAATGTATTCAAAGCTTGGGAGCAACATCACTAAAGAAGGCTGGAGAGGGACCATGTTTTCAGGGGGTACCCTTCTTTATGTTTGCTAAGACCTGTGCTTTTTCCCTGATGCCCAAGAAGTCTGATACAAGTATGATGAAAACGATGGATTATTGTCCTGCTCTAAGGTGCTAGTATCACCCATGCCTCCTCCCAGGTAAACAACCCATCCCTAATTACTTTTTCCCAATACTCCCAGTTTTGTTACCTCCATGCACAACTTTGGTATTTGACACCACTGCAAGGGGAGCTAACCCTGGTGGTATGTGCTAGGCACTGTTGGCCATATACTAGCCCACTCCCCAAAACATCTCCAATGCTCACTCTCGGATTTCTGTGAAGTTTGATTGTTTCTTGCAGAATGTCTCCTTAAACACCTGTGTAATTCCTCTCAAAACCATCTTGAAATGCGCTGGCTTCTTACCCTGGGATCTGTCGTCCTGTTCGGTTCGGGGCACCTCAGGCCTCCATCACCTGCCTGCAGCCCTGGGAGTCAGCATTGCAACCTCAGTCTGCTGGCGTGGGAGAGAAAGGTATGTGTTCTGCTGGGACTAAGCAATCGTAACTACAATAAATAAAAAGTAAAACTTACAAAGTTTGTGTATTGAAAGTGACAGCCTTTTCTCATGCTGAGTAGTTTTTGATCACTTATGGAATGAGTTATTAAGTGGCAGAAGAGGATGTGCTATGTGGTCACAAAACCTTCAGTAAAATGAGAGCTTGAAAGGGTCATAAAGATGTTTGTGATCAGTCTATGGAACTGGAGTTAAGAAAATTACAGTTCAGGAGAAATGTCTTTGAGTGAGGAAGAACAGAAAACTAAGTAAAACCAGTGTTTGTAGGAGCTGTAGATAAGATTATATGCATTGGATTTACAGAGGTCCTCAGAGGAAAATAAAAACATCTCAGTGTAAAAACATCAGCTACAATAGCACAGTGGATAGGCTTGCAAGCATAGGTCTTTTTATATGCAATTTGGAAAAACAAGTTATGCATACATGATTTGTTGTATTTTTGTTGTAGAAGGCTTTAACCCATTTTTATGATTTTAGGATTAATAAATGTTATCCAAGTCAAGCATAAAACAAGCAGCACCTCATTCAGCACACTCACTGGAATTTCCAGTGTATTTATCATTTTCTACTGGGATCGTGGTTATAGCAATGATTAGAAAACAATATGGCAGGAAACTCTTGATGTTAAACATTCGAGTTATGTATCACAGATTGTCTCAAATTCTCTGACTTTTTAGATTTAAATCTTTTCAAAGTTCTCCTGAAGCTTTTGGCACGTTTTCTGCAAGATATGTACAAGAGAGACAGAAGAATCATGGAGGACTCTTGCTTTCTGTTATTGTTTAAATGCTGATGTTTAAGGTTTAAATTTACAGAGAACAAATCATTCTACATCAAAACTAAGGTGTTGCATGTTTATTTACAGACCAAGCTCCAGTAGTAATGTGCATTTGTCATGGAAACTGATTTGAATTTAATTCTAAACCCTGTTTTGCACCAGGAAAATGTGAGTTTCATTTTACTCGTCTCTGTTTTCAATTATAATTTGACAAAAGAAATAACTGCATTACCTATTTGATTTGCCAGAACTTTATCCCAGCACCACCTGTTGAGCCCTCGGCACTCGAATCCTGACATATAGCAGAGAACAAAATTATGCGGTTGGCATACTAACTAGTAAGGATGCCAACAAAAGCATAATATAGCCTTTGTACTCAAAGTACAACAAAATATATATTAAGCTACCAACTGCAAAGGTTTAAGAAAGCCACATTTAATTATACATGAACATATCTTTCCAACAAATAATTCAGTAGAAAAATGGTATGGAAGTTAGAAAGGACCCCTTTTGTATGATTTGCTTTGGTAAATACTGCAAGCGTAAAATAAATAAAGTTTCACAATACCATAGTAGATTTACATTAGAGATGGCAAGAAGATAGCCAGCTAGTTTATACAAATAGATGGGTTCAATGCTATCAGCTTCTCAGTTTAAACAAAATGCCCCATGTTCATTTCTAGTGGGGGAGCTGATTAGCACAGCCCTGGTCTCCCAGGAAGGTAGAAGAAGGGGCTCTCAGCACTAGCCCTGACCAACACCTCTCTTCTGCCAGCGACTGGGACCAAAGGAACAAGGATCAACCGTGCCTCTGAGACTGTCTCTTTGCCACAAAAGTCATCACAATTGCTTTCCTGGCACCAGAACTCTTCTGACCCGAGGTCTGCACAAAAGAGGGGGTAGAACTTGAAAGGAGATAGGATGGGCCGGTAGGGATGAGGCAATAAACACTGCTCCCCAGTTCTGCAGAGATCAGAGGAGCTCTGTGCAGGGGTCTCTGAAGTCTCCTCATGTCAGGGGGCTCATGGACTCAGCCCCTGTAGGAATGGGCTTTTAACCAGGATGTGAAGACGATGGGTTCAGTTTTCCAGGGCCCTGACCTTCCTGTGATCTTTCCCAGACAACAGCTGCATCTGCCCCTGGGATGGACTTTATTTCCCCAGAGTTTGTCCAGAAATAAGAATGAGATCACTACAGACTTCATAAGGGAGTGTTTTTAAGTACTGATGACAATAACAATTTACAGATTTTTGTCACCCTCAAAAGCCTAAGAACAAATTAAATCTGGAAATTTGACTGTAGCATTGCTACTTCAAAGAGACGGTTGGCCAGAAAAATGACTTTGGATGGAAATGAGTATGTTCCAAGGTAGGAAAAATGAAGAATGAAGTCTTGCTCCTGCTCACCCAGAAATCACCACAACTCCCCTCATACAGAACCAAGGATGAGGACAGGATGAGGCAGAAAAAGCTAACTGACACACAGGGGAGGGAAAAGAAGTTTGGGAAGCATGAAGACAGGTTAATTGCCAGTTTTCCAATATTGCAGCAATTCTCCTGATGCATCTGTGCAGGGCTGAGCACAAAGTTTTTGATGTCAGGTAAGGCTTGTGTCAATATTAGAGTATAAAGTATAAATGAAAGACCAGTAAAACTTTGCATAAGAAATCAAAATACTGTAAGTTAAATAAAATATCTAGAAAATCTTTGAGAGAATTCATTGTTGAGACAATGAAGGATAGCTTTAAAATAGCTTGGAAAAAAATAACGAGCTTTGCAAACAAGAAAAAAACAAACAACAACAAACAAACAAACAAAAAAGCCGTAAATCACAAAGTAACCAAAGGATTTTACTTACTAAAGCAACTTTTGCACTCTAAGCTATTTAGCTATTATCACCTAAATGGATGAAATATCTCCTGCTACCTGTTGGCTATCACCAGGCACCATGTTCTGATATACAATTATTGAACAGTATATCAAGAAAGTTTAATGAGTGAGAAAAAAACTCCAAGAGAAGGTGGAACATTTCAAATTGTATCCAGAAATCTGTAGAATAATTTTGCATGTAAATTAGTTTCTTACTAATGTATTGCAGTAACCAGCATTCAGCACAGATTGTGGTCTTTGGAGGGTTCAACCTGACTGGACACAGCCATGAGCAACCTGACGCAATGAGACCCCCTTTGAGCAGGTGTTGGCCCAGATAACCTCCAGAGGTCCCGTGCAGCCTAAATTATTCCATGATTCTAAAACCTGACCTAAAGATATCAGATTTTTTCCCTTAGAGATATTATTAAGTTAAAAATAACGGAAATGCAACTTTATTTATTAGTTACTTCAACGTTGGAATTATGTATTTACTATGAATAACTGTTTACAAATTATATCTTTGTAATCCATAAATGGTTACTACTACTGCACAATGGGTGCTAATGGTGTAATCCCAATTAGACAATAAGAAATAATTTGCTAAAACTCTAAAATGCTGCCTTGAAACTTAGACCAATATCTTAATTATTCCACGCTGAAAATGTAAAATGACAATTGTTAATGAGAAAAACTTCTCCACAAAGTTGTAATAGCAACTGTAAAACACTTGCTAAGAGATAGACCACATTTAGGAAAGCCAAATCTAGTTGATCTTACATTCTCAATTCCAAATATCCTCTGTGGTAACTACATTTCATTTAGGAAAATAAGACTACAGGAAGTACACACATGGCAGGTAGTTTGGCATCTGCCACTTCCAGATTTCTCAGACATCTAGCAGCCAAGAAAATGTTCCAGCATTTAATTAATTTCAGATAGCTGATCCCGTATAATCTTTACTCTTGATGAAGTCTTTAGATGAAATATCTGGATGGTGTTCCAGTAGGGCACGAAATAAACCTCTTATAATAGAATCCCTCATCTTCTCCTAATTTTTCCCTTGTGCAAAATAACTACAAATTCTGAAATCACGTCAGGGAGCTTTGATAATGTTTCTCATAAACCGTTAAGAAAACTCATTCCAGAAAAGCACAGCATTGTTTATTGCCTTCTTTGGTATCTCCAATAGATAGAACTCCTCCCCCCCACTGCACTTTTTTTTTTTTTTTTTTTCTTTTCTCCTCCTTTTCAAGTAGCCTTGCAAAGACACTGAAAAGACACTGAAAATATTGGGACACCTCCTTGTCTGTCAGAGATGCAAGGAAGCTGCAGTTGGATAGATCAGAGCCTGAGAGCTCTACAAGGGACTTTTTCAGGCTCAATTGTGCTGTAGGGAATGTAATTAACCCATCTGGAATATTTGAGGATATCATTTCATCTTTAAATTGAAATTTTTGCACATAAAACAGTCCTGAAAATTGTGAAAATTTACAGATAGATTACAGTGAGCTCTGCAAAAGGCAGCAACTTTTCAGGCAATCTTTGAAGTCTGCTCCAAGTCAGCCAAATGCCCCAGATATGCTCAGCTCCGTAGTCTTTCAGCAGGTTATTGCTTCTAGTCCCGTGTATCATTATGTAAGGTGGGATTCACTATTGAATTTAATTCCATTTAAATCTGGACCACTTTGGAGAATTAATAATTCTGGAACTAAATATAAATGTTTCTCATATTGAGTACTCTGATAGCACGTGCACTTACTTTAGTAGAAACCTGTGATCCCGGGAATCCTTTCACTTTAAGCTTGAGTTTGCCTGTCAATGAAGGTGACTGAGGTCAGCTGGCTTAAAATGACTAATCTATAATCTACACTTCCTGAAGGGATAAGTAAATCCAAAGAGAGAGTCTCATAAATTCTTAGAGAGATCTTGGTATCATAAAAATAGATATAACAACACTCAAAATTTGTCCTCTGTCTTGACACAAAGGAATCACAATCAGTTTTGGTGAAGTTCCTCAACAGGAGATACTTCTTAATGTGCTTTTGAGCAGCCTGCACCCTCCTTTTCTCATGACAACCTTTCATTGATCCTTCTGCCAGCTTCCATTGATAGTGAGGTACCACAGCTGGGCTATAGCACATGCGAAATAATAGATGTGGGAGAGAAAAAGAGCAAGGTGTGTTTCCATGCTTCCCCGTCTACTTCACTGCATCTCCTCCTTTACATCATCACTTGTGAAGATGCTTCTGCAGAACTGCCCTGGGGGGATGCCGGGCACAGGCAAGTATTTTTATAGAAAAATCCCAACATTTGAATAGGATTCACTAAAAGCTTCTCTAGGAGCTAATGTATTTAGGAATTAATCTTGGTATACTTTTTTTTTTTTTTTTTTTTTTTTTTGATCTAGCTATTAAAGAAGAGTAATCAAGAGTAATATTCGCTATTGCATTCTACAGAGTCTTTGCTTGAACTTGTCCTGTTCTGCTTCCTGCCCATCATAATCACATCGTTTCTCCTGCAACCTGAGCCCTTCTCAGTTCTGGAAACTGGTTGAGATTCACCCAATACTGCTTCCCAACAGAAAGCGATTTCCTGTCTCAAATGACTAAACTGTTGCATTTAGAAGAGAAGGAATTTAATTTCACTGTCATCCTCTGAGCTAACAAGATGATTCATTGGTTTGCATACGTACTGAAGGCTGCCAGTGAGGAGCATGCTTTGGTAAGGGGCACTAAAAAGGGTGATGATTTCATTTGGCAGCACCTAGTAGTGACTGTTTACACTGGCACTTACCCATTTAGGCAGCTATGTAGACTAGGCAACTTAAGAAACAGGCATGAAATTATTACCTCAAATTGTCTTCAAAGACTTGTCTTGATTTATGATTGTCTTAGAATACATAAACACATTTTACCACAATGACTTTACCCGTTTCAAGGAATACCCAATACACAAGGGATTTTTTCCCTTCGTATGGCTGTAAAAACAAAACCACCGTGGCTCTTGCCAAACTTGCTCAAAGTTTACATGGATTTGGTTGGACAAATGTGGTGGAAAACTATATCCAATGTTTTGAGTCCTGGCCCATTCACCTCCTTATATCTCAGTAGTGCCTCTTCCAAATTTTAATGCAGATTTCTGACTGAAGTTTGTTTTTGTTTGAATTACAACATTTAAAAATTAGACTATATGAAATAGGATGTCATTTTGGCTCTGTAAAATGCAGCTCTTCCTGATTTTTCTTTTTTTTTTTCCTAATTGGAAACAGTAGCCAGTGATTTCTGCTCTGCTTTTCTTGGATGATGCTCTTTTAGGGTTATCCATTACCTGTAGGCGCAGTTGTTCCTCACATACTATTGAAATAGATCATCCCGTGATGGAGGTGGGGGTGATGCAATGTTATACTCACGGCATCTGGTAGAATGGCAAAAAAACATGGGATGCATCCTGTCCAACTACCAACTGCGCTAAATTTCTGTGTGTCGAGTACCTGACTGAAATCACTGGGGTGCTGTGCTGGACTTTGTGGTGGATTGTGATGTGTGTTATTTTCAAGAACTATACAGTAACGGAGAAATTCATGCTTCCCCTTAAGTCTCAGAGTGATACAGGAGAAGGGAAAATAACTTTTCCCAGCAATTAAAACATACATTTAAAGATCATGTCATTGTGCGTGTTTATAAACAAGCACAATTTCAGTTGTTGTTTGTTTGTTTGTTTTTCAGTGTCTCTGGAAACAATCGCAACATAAATAATTGGAAGGAAAGATTGCAGACAGGAAGCCAGGACGTTTGCTCGGTTGTTTTTGGCACTCCTGATTCTTCAGTGTGGGCTTCCCGGCCAGGTGGTAGGTGCGGGGCGGTGTCAGCAGTGTCACCGGCTGCTCCCGGCCCCAGGACCGGAGCCGAGGCCGGGCTGCGGCAGCCGCCGGCGGAGCGGAGCCCCCGGGGCAGCAGCGGGCGCGCTCGGCCCGCCCCGAGCCCAGCAGAGGGCGCTGCAACACCGCGCCTGCTGCCGCCAGCTGGGGGTCAGTATTTGTCATTATTTTTAGTCAAAGGACTATCATATTTAGTCAAATATCGCCAGTTCTTGCATTTTTCACACAGTTGTGGCTGAAGATGGACTGTCCAAAAAGACTGTCCAAGAAAAAGGCTCGGCATTTCAGCAGTTTAAATCTTTTTTGTGCCTTTCCTCTCAATTTTTTTCCCCCTCCAGCTGAGAACTTTTCTCTTGCTCAACTTCAGGGCCGCACTGGGCAGAAGGCGTAAGCAGCTGTCACACAGGCTATGAGGGGCACGCATTATCCAGCTCCTTCTACATGTATTTTCTGTGTCATGCCCAAAGCTTGGAACCTAGCACAGGTATTTCTAAAACCTCTTCCTGCAATATCTCCACCCGCAGAGAGGAAAGTAAATTGCTTTTATTACCTGGTGATTCTTCCTCTGTGGATGTGTTTCATACTGTGTCATCTCCAGTGCTCCTCTGAAGTTTGTTTCATAAATACCTACGTAAAAGCAAACAACAAACAAACAGCACATGCAGAAACCCCTGGGTGCATTTATATTATTTCTCTACTCTTGGATTCCTTAATATGAAATAAACTGAATCAACCAATGTGTTTTACCTTCCTATGCTTAAAACAATAATGAAATATGACAGTTTATGGCTTTTCTCCTCTGGATGGCAGTAACTCCTGCTTAAACGTTCATGACCCATGACTGCAATATCCCACAGCAAGGGATTTCCTTTTCTTTGTCAGTGTACGATCCAAAAGAAACATTTAATTTCATCCGTTCCATTTTTTTTTTTTTTTTAAATCTAAATTTGAAAGCTAAGTAAGCTTTCAGATCAGGAATCTGTTTAATGTAAAAAACAAATTGCATGAGCTCAATATATGAAAACAGAACAGGAATCAGAAGAAAGGAATTGATGCTGGGTATTTCTAGCTATTTGTATCTGAATACACGTTTCATAAAAATTAACAAATGTTCCTGAGAAAATCAAATTCCTTGGTATTAGACACTAAAACAATACAAAAGATACAAAAACGTACTGGTCTGAGAGAGTGCTAGAACACCTGCCACTTTAAAATGTTCTCATTGTAACAGGGCACATCTGGATTTCTGGACTGCTCATTGCAACGTGAAATTTTGAAACAGAAAATACATACAGTAAAGGTAATTTCCAAACGCCCACTGAGCAGACATGTAAGTTAGTTTAAACAAGAGAGACAAGAGAGGAATTTAAGCCATCCTCCCTCCACAGCTGACCAAATAACACTTTTTCAGTACCAAAGTGACGTTTACGTGTAGGACTGGAGTCCAGGACTAGCTGCATTGCCTCGTAGGGCTGGTGAAAGTGATGCAGTTCAGAGCAACAATTCCCAAAGATGAGATCCTGTATTTATATGACTGAGCCCACACTCCAGGCAGGACCCAAGTCCCTTCACATCCTCCCACTGACACTGGGTGGCTGAGGTCTGTCCTTCAGACAGCCAGATTGATTTCTGGGGCTCTCCAGCTGCCGGCTCAGCAACAGCCACCAGTGAGGCACTGCAGTGGTGTGAGCTCTGCTTTCCGAAGTCACAGAGATGCACTGGAATTGTTCTGCTCCCACCCAAATTCTGCATTGGCTTTGCTTTGAAATTCTGCCTTGGCAGCTAGCTTCATCAATGCTACACCACTTTATCATACTCTGTATCCTAATGGACATTGCTATAGGAGGGAAAAAGTATTTGAACCTACACGAGCATTCAGTTCTTGGCCTGTAGGCTGAGATGGGCCGTGGCAGTCTAAGAGTGTTTTTAAGAGGTGGGCATTTATCTAACATGAGCAAAACTTTACCATCTCTTTTTAATACCTTATCTGTTTTCCCATAGAGAAAAAAGCCTGGTTTGTACAACTGAGAAAAACCTTACTAACCACATCTTTTCAGTGGAAAAAAAAAATTGGCACATTTTGCAAGTTTATGTTATTTTTCTAGAATCAATGCACTGTTTACATTCTCCCCCCAAACTGCTAGTGCTCAGAAAAGCCACTTATTTATACTGATGTGTTTCTACTACTATTGTCCTGATCTTCAATAACACAGTAAGGTTTTGTCCATTCGGCTACTTTTCCTACATTAGTAGGGAAACAAAACAGTTTTGTGTAAACAAGCCTGTCCCATAAAGGGTCCTACCTAAGAACTGGAAGTCCTCTGGTAACAGAAACATCAGCTCAGCACTGAAACAATCTCCTTCAGGAAAGCACAGTGTCTCCTGGGATTCTTTAATATGTAAGGAAGCAAATTTTGTCACTGTCCTCCTGGAAAAAGAATGGCACCTACTTGCTGATGTGAATCCAGCTCCAGAGTGTGGAAGGCAACAGAGAATCAGCAGCACAGCGACTTGGCCCTCTCCTGTCTGATGGTCCAAGGTGATTTGCATTGGCAGCATAGCAGAGGTGCTCAATAGGCTTTAAAGACTGAAGATATCACTGGGAGATAAACTGCAAATAACTCTAAGCTACTGCCCTGGCCTTTTTTTTTTTTTTTTGAATGCCAGAAAACCTGAAAAATAATAACGAGGGTGCAACTAAGAAGGTGATATTAAAGCTTGCCACAAAGCTCAACTGTCAGCCTTTCAAGAGGTGAAAAAAGGTAAATAAATCATCTGTTACAGCAGTTTTACTGCAGGTCCATACCTTTGAGATTGCCTGATCTGCCACAAAATTTTCTCCGAAGACTTCATTAAGTTCTGGTCCCGGCACCAGTTTGTCAGCAAATGACAAAGCACTCTGAGACACCTTCCCCAAAGGTTCCTCTAAAGCACAGCTGTGAGTGCCCGTTACTGTTCATACTGACTTCTGAGCTCAAAAAAGCAAAGAAACAAACAAACAAAACAACAACAAAAATCCGAGTAAAGAGAAAATATATGAATGTTGGCATATAGAAGTTCTTTCCTGTCCTATCAAACACAGCTCCCTCTCCCCACTTCAATGCATTAGTTTGCCTTCCTTCATTCTGGTAGCAGGTGAAAAAACGACAGACGTTAAGTACAAAATATTAAATGGATGAAATGGTCACCTGCAGATTTATTTTTACTGTATAATTTTCTAGGCATATCACAGAATCACAGAATTGAAGGGGTTGGAAGGGACCTCAAAAGATAATCGGGTCCAACCCCCCTGCCAAAGCAGGTTCCTTAGAGCAGGCTGCCCAGGAATATGATTATGAATATATTTGATATATATATGTGTGTGTGTGTATATATATATACACACACACATATATATAATATATATGAATGTGATTATGAATATGATAGGCATATGATTTGTCCGAAGTGTGGGAAAGAGGTTTCTACCATATAAAACATAGCTGGGCTACGTAAATCTCTCAGAAAGTGCAAGTTGCCTTATGAGTGATTTGAACAGCATTCTGTACAGTCACTTTTTTGAAAAGATGTGATTCATTAATCTCTTCTTTCCCTTAACTCCAGGGTCTGTACCCATTTTCTAGACGGTGATATGTACACGTACAGGGAGAACACATGCAACAATACATAGTTGCATTATTTGTATAATATAAATTATATTGTTAATCTTCCTGAAAGACTAAAATGGAGGCCAGTGGAAAACAAAATGCTTTTCCGCAGGGTGCCACTGTGACAGCTGAGGTCAGGAGAAGAGAAGGCATGGAGAACATTTCAGGCTGAGGTCCAAAGTTGAGAAATTTCAGGTTTGTTGTGAGGACAGAAGAGCACTGTGCACTTGAATTTCTATCTCTTGGCACTATAACTAGAGACATCTAGTCAGAAGGTTAGGTTGTAACTAGAGCTCAGCTTGAAAGGAGATTTCAAACAGATTGCAAATTCCTTTTCATTACTCCTAAACTAAACTCCTAAATTAAGTGAGATTATCTGAAAGGTTTATTTTTGAATCCTGAGTCACTCTTTAAATTATGAGTTATGGGATATGATCATTTTGAATTATAATTTAGAAAAATATGTATGGGATTTGTGCTAGCAGACCTAATGTCAGAAGTTACAGAATTGCCATTTGTTTGTCCAGAAAAACACTCACTCTTGGCTCGTTGTAAAATAAAGAAAAATAATTCAAAAATCTGCTTAGGACATCAGTCCTGTCTCCCAGACTGGAGATGTTTTGCACCCCTAGAACAGAACTTAACAGCAAGATGACTTGTTCTCTGTCTAAGAAATGCGATATTTTTTTGAAATGTTTCTTCCTACTTCCCCAAACTAATTAGCAAGAACAGAAGTCCAGAGCCATCAGCTTTCTTGCTTTCTCATGCAAATGCAGTGGTTGTGGAGTCTTACAGCACAGTCTTCTTGATTGGAAGGAGGGTAGGCTTTCCCCTTCAGTGCTAGGATAATATTGAACACCCTTTCTATTAAGTGCCACATGTGTTATTGAGTTCTCTGCAATGTTATATGAAAAGACAACACAAATAATATTAATCACTGTTACTACTACTTTCAGGTTTATTTCATCTGAACAAGGTCTCTTGTTGGCTTATCTTTATGTGCAACATCAACATGCTGATTCTACCTTCAGGAATCAAAGAAAAGAAGTTCATCTGCATGGGATATGCCACTTGTTTTTAAGAGAGTTATTTCTTAAAAGAAAAAGAAAAAAAAAAAAAAAAACAAGACTACGGGTTGCTGGAGTTTCCCAAGGCGGACTTGTCATTGTTGATAATGCATTAATCACAATACATCAGCATGCCACAGAAAGAGATTTTCCAGGGTTGGCTATGTCTTTTGTATAGCACTAAGCAAGAATGACTAAGGCATAAAAGGGCATACTGTGGTGAGGCACTTTTGTGAGTGAGGAGTGCAAGGGCAGAGAAGACACATGTAAAACTAACACCTTCTGCAAGCCATGAAGAAGTTAGCAAGAAAAGAAGTATAAAAGGGAAAGCAATTAGAGGCATGTACAGAGAACAGGCAGGCATCCAAAAATTACCTGTAAACAAGGCTGGGAAAAGTCTGAAGGATCCAGAAGAAAGAAACCCTTTTTCATGTGATAGCTGCAGAGATCTGGTTAGTTCAACGTCCATGGGCTCCCTTGTGCTGAAGCTGCTGAATCTGAAGAATTTATTGCAGAACAATCTGAGCAGTATCTTGAATCTTGAAACTCAGTTTCACACAATTAAACTACAGCACCTCAATGATCAAGGGCTATAAGCAAAAAGAAAGGACAGACTCAATTTGCAAGAAATGTATGTCCTGTGGTAGAAGTTCAACTTGTATTTAAACTCATTTGCAAACTGGTTTCTTTGCAAATCAGTAATATACAATATTCCCCTCTGCTCCTAACCTCCCCACTTATACTGTATGTACCTACACTATCTATCTGGTTTGATTTCCTTTGCTCTGCTTCCTACTGTATTCTATATGTTAAGGTCCCAAAGGAGCCTTCAGATTTACAAAACAGTCCCTGATATAGTTGAGTTGTAGTGCTACTTTTCTGTGAAACTCTAATTCATAATTTTTTCTATGACACCTCAGTTTTTTATGCACACTCAAAGACCCTTCCTTCTCAGGTTGGTGTACATACTGGGGTGTTCTGAATTGCACCCAGGTGATCAAGGTCTCAAGAAGCTATTTCAAAGGTCAAAAATTGCCAAGGTATATAGTTCTTAACTAAGGGGCCTGCCAACTCTTTGCTTCAGTAACCATTCAATCTAAGGGGGTAGGGGCTGCTTTAGCAATCTAATGTCATCCATCAACTGCCTTTTAAGACGTATCTGAGAGCTAATCTGCATTCTACAAAGCAGCTGCAAAAAAGGACCAGTGATGCTAAATCACAGATCAACAAGCCTTTAGTGTATCCGACACACACTTTTCTTAGATTTTATCCAAGATGAAAGGTGGGGTGTTTTTTTTTTGGTCATCTTTGTTGGCAGTACAGAAGAAAGAATGTCATTTTGCATGAGTTACAGAAATACTCCCTTTTGACGGATGGGAGTTGTTTGCTTTAAGCAAACTACATAAGATTTACATAATAAGAATTAATACAGGATTTTTTTTTTTTTAATCAAAAGTAAAAGGTTGTTTTTGATTTCACATCCTTAAATAGCATTAAGCCAAACTGTCTGATGGCTAATGAATAATAATAATAGGAATAAATATGCCTTGTGTGTGATCCCCTGCTGAAACCTTGGATCACTTATACCATTTGGAAGAGACAATTGCAGTTGAACATTATGCACAAGACTTATCCCCACTTCACTTCTGATCTGGCCTATTTTCCTGTGTTCTCATCCTCAGAATCTAGATAACGTGGTTCATTGAAGATAACACCTGAAAGGTCTTCCAAAGAGCGCACGTCTGTGCATGCAAAACAAAGCAGCTCAAAGCCCTCTTTCTGGCTCACATCCCCAGAACAGACACAGAGGGGAAAAAAACCTGTCTACGACCTGACGTTTCCTTTGCTGCATCTGTGTGTCGGTGTGTGGATGGGCATGAATAGCAGGAGGGGACAGAGGATGGCTTTCAAGCTTTACAACTTAGACAGGCTGCCTCCAACAGGTAGGTGAAATGAAGGAAGAATGGGCCTCTTTTTATATTGATAAATCCAGCCTACTCGTGAGCATTCTTGAAAGTGTGCAAAGTTCTGATAAGAGTTTTAGCAAGCATGTATTACATCAACTGGCTGCTGCACCAGCCCTCTAATCAGCTGTTTTTCCTAGCAACAGTACCTAGACAATAAGCTCACGTCTATTGAAGAAGCACTTCGCTGTCAGCGAAGATGTTGTTACAGTAATTCATGCTTGAGACCAGGTGTACAACCAGAAGGACAGCCAGGCCCGCAGGTTTAAATATGCTCAGATGCTGGGGGAACTGAGAATCTTTTAAAAACCGTCAGTTCTGTGTATCTGAGAGTCCTTCCTCATGAGGAAGAAAATGTATTTAATAAGTTAGTGGGGGAGTCAACAGAAATAACTGTTAATAATTAAACACAAGCCTGTGAGAAATGCCCTTTCCAGATGCTCTTTTTTAATACAACATGGGTTTGTAATTAAGTTTTAACAAGGTTTCTTCAGCTCTATAAGGGCTTTGAATAAAAGCTTTTGTGGAAATGCAGAGGAAAGAACTCCTGATCTAGAAAAGAGAAAAAGGCTGATGAATATAGTTTCTTTTGTTACACTGAGACTGTTTGCAATTTCTTGGATTAAACCGGGACAGACTTTGAGAGACTCCAAAGATCTGAGCATACTGAGAGACTTTGAGCATTCAGTTTTTCATCACTAGCAATATTAAAATCCCCACATAAGATTATTCTTTGTCTTGTACTTATATAAATAAGGACTAATTCTACTTAGGAAATGCAGTAGCTTGATTTAAAGGGAATTATTTCTGACCATTGAAAATGGTAACAGAACGTGTCTCACACTGAAAATAAAAGCCAGGCCATAATCTGCTCTGCCCAGAGAACAGTAACGTATGTTGCAATCCATATCTGTGCACCTCATCTGAAAGAAATCTGATGAGTTTTCCTGAGGCTATTCTGGGATAATTGTATCTTTGTCCATTATAAATTCACTTATATTTTTATAAGCAAAGCAAGGGTCCCATTGGCACTATTAGAAATAATCCCTTAAGAGTTTTCCAAAGATATGTCTTGCTTAACTTCAACAGGGAGTTAACTAAACACTCTACAGAAATTTTATTTTTCCTCATAAGCAACAATAGATCCCTGTAAATGTAAAGCAAGTCATACACAATCAAATATGCTGGCATAGAAGTAGTCATGCTCTCACTCCTATAAAAAGTAAATAAATGGTGCCAATAAAGACATGCCAACATGTAAGAATAAACCTTTTGTTTTAAAGCGTATATAACTAAAGAACGTTTTATAAGCTTTTAAAAATTCATTAAGACTCAGGCCTTGGCTGTTTGGAAAGCTTTCTCAGTGACTGGATCACCAGAAGACTGTTTGGGGTGAATTCTGAGTTTTCATGTATAGAGGCCACAGAGCAAGAAAAAAGCTCAGTTTACTTGAAACTGAGTTCTGTACTCATTAAGTTGTCATAGAGAATAGAAATAAATTGTCCTCGCCTGTCCTTTCCATGCAACCCTATCCGCTGTAGCTACAACCAGGGAAGAGTAGTTTTTCCATCTACACCCTGAGCTTCTTTTTGCTGTCTTGGGCTCACTCCAGGGGTGCAGGGAACTTTCACAAGTTTCCTGAAGTACTGCTTACTGGCTTCTTACACATTTACACAGAGAATGTAATGGCTAATGCGTCTGTGGTTATCTACCAAACTAATGAGTATTTTTTTCACCTAGGAAGTATTAAAATGTTTTATTACAATAGAAAGCTGTCATATGAAATTCACATGACAGCTGTTAAAGTGGAAGTGTCATAGGAATTACCATGTAGGAACAGCTCAGTACCCCATCTAATGTGATATCCTCTCTCCTGGTGCAATCAGCCGCAAACATCTCAAAGAGTGGGCAGGCAGTCATCAGGACATGGGCTAAAAAAACAGCAACAATATTTGGATCCATATCCAAATTTTCCCAGAGAGCACTGGAGTACATATTTCAGCGCAGTCTTGGTGTTTTTAACACTAAAGAATGTGCAGTCACGCACAGAGGAGGTCTCCTAGCTTAAATACTCATGCACAAACATTTTCTACATTTTAGAGTTAGGCAAACTTTGTAAGGTAATTAAGGGCTTGGGGATCGCTCCTTTACTGCACAGTGAATTTGCATGCAATACGTCCCAGTCATTACAAGTAACTGAGATGTCTAAACTGCAATGGTGTTCACAGCTGGGCTTGTTCTAGGAGATGACTGTGTTACAGAAGCAGCCCTGCCCTTTTTCTGAAGACTTTCAACCTGGCAAAGCTGGGATGTTGCATGAGACAAGACAAAGACTAACATCATCACTTGCGAATGATGACACAGGATAGAAAGGTGCTTCTGCACCTTAAATTTAACTGAAATAAATGCAAGTTTAAGCTGCCACTCCTACAGTTAGACTCATATGGTTCTTCCAAGGTGCCTGTTTGTACCAAGTGTAAATGTACAATACTATGATTTAATTTTGAAACTGATTTACAAATAATAAAAAGAATCGCATCAGTCAAATTTGTACCCTTTCATTTAGTATCAGTAAAAGTGCATATACCATGCAATACCTAGATGTGTTTGCCAAGCCATCTGAAGGATGTTTATTAATATAAAAAGGTGAGTGTATTGCCTTTGGTAGACAGTTCACTACTTTATGAGTTAAGCAACAGTTGTTTCAGAAAATCAAACAAAACCCACGACTGCTTCCTTCATTTTCTGACCATCTGCATCCCTTTGGAATATTCACATAAGATGACATATTTGAAAAGTTTTTTTTTTCTTTTTTTTAACAGAAACATTTAATTCTCATTCACAGTTTACTGTGAACAAAAACTTCAACACTTCTAAGAAATTATAAAAGAAAGTGATGAGCACATAAGATTCTTGCTACATCTGTTATGGAGCAGAAAAAAACTACACAGAATCCTAGAAGCCTGGGGAGAGGAACAGAGAAACTGGAGGAAAGAGCCGGATCCCAGGGACAGGTACATGTGTGACTGTGTGGCACAAACTCTTATCCCAATAAAGCTCCAAGTACTCTATAATGAGACAGTAAATGACGCACAGGCTATACCTTCCTAGTAAGAAAATTTCAGAAAACTCCACTGAATATTTTCCTTCTGAAGGACTTTTTTTTTTTTTCAGGTTGTCTAGTCATGGAGAATGATCTAAGCTAGTATGTCTCACTACCACTAAATGAGCATAACATGTTGCTTAACCTTCAGTGCATTAATAGTATCTGGTATCCAACTGATATGAGGCAACTCGTATTTCTAAGATGACAGAATCCTGTGGCTCAGTTGTGAGATTCCAGATTAAAAGATTTACAGACTATATAATAATTATAATACACTCTTACCTAGATTCCAGGACTTTCTTCATAGTTTCAGTGATAGTATTTCTCTCCCTGGTATTAACTGACAGTAGGTTCATTGTTTGGCGCTGTGAAATTTCTTGTTGCCCTATTTAGCAAAAACAGATTTTAGATATTTTAGTAAACAGTAACATACAGTTGCTGTATTGGCAAGGGACATGTGGATTTGTTCCTCTCAGTTTTGTAGGGTGGTTATATATAATGGTGTCTAACAAACAGAGCTGTGGAATCCATGGGTTTGGGGCTCTGGAGCATTGTCTTTTCCTGGGCATTCTTTGCAGTGCTAAAATCTGATAATGTGTAGTTGCATGTTAATCTACCTTGTCAGCATTTCTGAAATAATCTAGCCCAGTTGTTTTTGACCTTTTTCAATTTGCAAGCCTCTAAATGTTTTCCAGTGAAATTATGAACCCTCTCTGCACTCTGAATTTAAGCTAATGGGTAATAAATAGTCTTACTTTCCTTAGTTACTTTTCAGGGATTGCTTGGAAATGGTCCCTTGCAGTGGTTGCAAGCCAGGGGTTGAAAGCCACTTGTAATTTATGGCCAAAGTCACAGCTAGAGTAACTTGGCATAATTCCACTGATTTCAAAGGAAAATCTTTTGATGGTGTCAGCTAGAATAATGCCCAGTTTATTGGACATTAGCTGAGGAACTTCCCCTGGTTTTAGTCGTCATCTGTAGCTTTACTGCAAATAAGACTGAGCTCCATTTCAATGTAATTATACCTCCTTTGGGAAATATTCCTTCCTTACTACCCAGACCAGAACACATCAAAAAGCCCAAGAGGAATCTTAAAAAAAATGACATAGGAAAGCTCATCAGAAAATTCTTAAAATTTTAGTTTATGCTTGTTCTTAGCTATGTCCTAGATGTCTAATTTTTAAGATGACTTCAATCTGCTAACACCCTTTGCCTCAGTGGCCCAGTGTAACATACGTACAACACCTATATAGGCTATACAGTTAATAATATGATTTTTGCTTGGATTTCAAGTAGTTCTACTGTTCAAGTCTTGAGGTCTACTTTTAAGGTCATGGTATCAATGTCTGTGAATTGAGTTACATCAATTTACACCAGATGATCCTATGCCCAATTAAATTAAGATGCTTGAGGTTCCTCAGAAGTGCAAAGAAAATAATTTTGCAGCTTCTTCTGTAAGGGAAAAGCTCAAACACGGAGGTGGGTATTAAGAAAAGTAACAATTAGGTCTGAAATGTTAATAACTGGATATCTTTTCTGAAGATAGTTAAAAGTATTTACATTTTAAAAGACAAGAAAATCTCTGAAAAATTAGAGAAAAATGGAAAATTGTCTTTTATGCTGTTACTGCCTAGCTCACTTTGCAGCTCCACCACATGACAACGAATAACTAAAGAAAACTATTATTATGCAAACCACTCTAGCACAAAAGGGTATTACATATCTGGTACAAAAGGGGATTTCTTTAAAAAGCACAGCACATTCAGTGTTTAGGGTTTGCAGTTGAAATTCATGGCCTTGCTTGCCAATATTATCATGCAGCTGGGTATTATGCTATTGCTTTACTCTGAGGGGAAAAAATCACAATAAAGATATTCAAATGGGTTCATATTAAACTGTTGTATTCTCTTATGTTGCAATATCAGTTTTTAATGATTTCTGGCATCTCTTCTCTAGCACAAAGGTCACAATAAACACTAGCCATAGAGACTTCGACTGCAAACAGAAAATGCCAAAAATGCACATCTTTTGAATTAAAAATTATCATCGGAAAACAGTGTTAGGCATTATTAGTAAAGAAGGCTTCTGACAATATCTTAAATTGGTGCTGTAAATAAAAACCAGGGTTAAATATATATATGTATATATATAAATATTTCCATAAATTATTGCCTATTTAAATAAAAGCAACATCAGCTGACCAAAAACATTCCTGGTGAGTAAAAGATTAAATGTAGCCTCTCAGAAATCATAAGATCTTTATGACACAAATATTTGAACTTGAATTCAGGTAAGTAATATGCCTTTTCAGGGTTAAGTGCTTCCTGCTTCTTCTATATACAGTCTTAGTCTCATGACTATTTTGAACCACCTTCCTAAGCATCAATGATTTTTCTTATATTCTTTTTAAATAATGTTTTGTAAAATTCCATATCAAGTCACTCAGTACAAGTCAAACAATTTAAGAGGAACAGCTTAAACTTTTTTTCATTTGCTTATGCCATTTTCCTCTCTTTGGCTCTTAGGTACATACATCTCTGGGCATCTTCAGCCTTGTTTGCAAGTCCGTCATGGTTTTGTGTTCTGTTTGTCCCTCTGTTGCCTGAGCATTGCCATCACGAGGCTGAATGTTATGCACTCTGTGGTGATTTAATGTACTGAAAAACAAAGGAATGGCAAAAAAAAAATGAATGTTTTTGTTCTAAATGGTATGCATATCATCAGTTACTTAAATTCACTACACGTGATTCTGATTTTCTGTCTTCTTACCTTTTTCTTCTAAGAAAATTATTAAAAAATATAGTTCCAAGCTTGTGTGTCAAACATAGATCAAAAATAAATACCCACGTTTTGTGGTCACCAGTGTGTCTGGTACTTATGCTCTCTACATCACTGCAGCCTGGTTAATCAAGATTCCTGCTTTCAGAAACCTAAGGAAACAAGTCTGTGTGATCAGCAATACAGCTCTGTAGGTAATGTAATATTTCCTAAATTACTGTGTGCAGCAACAGGACACCATGACATAAGCCCTTTTAAAAGAGGCAGATCTTATTATCTTATTTTCTCCATTTTATTGATGGAAGATTTATTCACAGAAGCTTGGAGTAGTTCAAGGTAAAGCACCTCTTTGCAATGCCAAAGCTACTCTACCCTCATGTGGAAGGTTTGCACTGTTTGGATGATTTTGATGACTGACCATTGCACATAGTGCAAGCTTGTGAACTTGTGACATTGGCAGTGCTGCGTAGAACCTCCTGCTAGGCTAGCTGGAAAGTGTTAATATGCATTCCTATATAAATTATTGTTTACTCATGCTTACATTTAAGTATGAGACTTTTTTTTTCCTTCTTTTTCTATTTTTAAAGAAATTGTCAAGCTTTCTGGAATAACCAGGAAAACAATACATAATGAATACAAAATGAAGAAACGCACTAAACAATATATACTAATTGCTGGTTGTAATTAATTAGTAATTATAAGCCCCCCACCCCTTCCCCGTAGTCTCAGCTGCTACCAAATAATTTACTTTCATGAACTCAGTAAAAGCAGGCAAATTTCAAAATATCTTCATCATTATTATTTTAATTGACAGATAAGGTAAGTGGTTGTGATTACATCCAAAACTTTTATTTTTAAACTAAGAAGGGACACAAGTAGGGTCCTGTTTTTAGACTGATAAGAGATCAGAAGCCTAACCAAAAACCTGTAGACAATACACAAAATATTTAGTCTTCTCTACATTTTGGTTTCAGGCTCTTTTCAGCTGAGAGCTGATCTGATTTAACTGGCTGCAGCAGAGGGGAGCATTTATTGCTATGTTTTCTAGCATTCTTCAGTTCTAATGACAGGAAGCATGTCAGGTACTATGACAGAGTCCTGACCATTTGCAAACCCCTCGTGTGATGGCTTTCTAAGGAATTAAGTCACAGAGGCTTAACAACATTATAGTCCTGGACATCCCTGGTTAGAAACTAAGGGGGCTTCTTGTGCTGCGCTGGTAGAATTGTACTTCTGTCTAGTGCAGCATCATTTTGAGGCCAAATGCTCTTCCTGCTCTTATTTAAACTGTATCTGCCTTACACTTTTTGTCTCAAAATACCCTTCAAAATACATGTATTTCTTCAGATTGTCTAGACTGTGCTATTAAAATGTCTTGCTTAATCTCTGTTAATCATTGTAAATTCTGCTGAAATGTGACGGTCAGTTCTTACAAAATACTATGTTGTGATAAAAATACCGTGGAACTGTGAAAGTACTGTCCCACCATACTGTTCCACAAGCTGAAATTGACCATAAGCTTAAAACCAGGACACACAAGTGAACTGTGTAGCTTTTCCTTCAGTTAACCCGTCAGCATGGCTTCAGAACAAGGTTTTAAAATAGCACTATCTAAAAAAATAATGATGTTATGAATCACCACTTCTTACAAGACCTTTTGAGGCTCTCCCTTTTCCTGCTTGTAAATCCTTAGTCTTTGCATTAAAATTTTCTCAGACAGGAAAACAATAACAATTGATTTACATGGACAAAAGCAGCTTTTCTCAGTTTTCAGTCCAGCTTCCTCTGAGATCTCATTGACCTCCAAAGTTCAACTTCTTCCAAGAAAGTTTTCTTTGGGACTAATAGCCTTCAGCATCAAATCACTGTTGAGTGCTACAGCCATTTTCAGTGCTATAACTAAGGCTGCATTAGCATTTCCACATAAACTCTTATTTTCAGAGATTTATAGCTTGCCTACAAAAATATAGTTTTACGCTGAAACTTGGCAAAAAAAAAAAAAAAAAAAAGCTCAGTATGGGAGTGATTTTACTTTTTATTTTGGGAAATTTACACAAATCTGTGGGTGTTTTTAGACTGTTTTTAGACTTCAAAAGAGACCTTGACTTGCTATCTACACCCTATTGGTGCCTTGGAGAAATCCCAGCCTGGCTTTATAAGATTACAGATCTACTGATGAATTATGTAAGGGCAATAAAAACTCCATGAAAGGAGTTTTTAAATGGTGATTCCCTATACTAAAGATTCCCAGATTGAATCTAGTCACTTATTCTCTAGAAGACATTTTAATCACTAGAAAATTCCAAGACTTATTTGAAGATTTTAGCCAGCCATGCTAACATGTGATACCAACAAAGTGCTCTGCAGTAAACAAAGAAGTCTGATATTTCTGTTACATCCTCATGCAGACTAACTGAGCAGCATTTTGCCCCTTCTGCAGTTAGAAACGCTGATGGACTCAGGGACGAAGATGCTATTGAATACACAGAAGAGGCCCAAGAAAAACAGAGGTGAGGAGCTTGGGGAAACTGTGGCCTCCTGCCTTTTCAGGACCCATGACAGTTCCCTGGTGGCCCCGGGGCTGAGCACCAGGACATCACTGTGGCAGAGAGGAGACAGGCACCTTTCTCTCCAGCATCATGAAATAAATCTTCATGAAAATTAGAGCCACTTACAGCAAGACAAGAAGAAATACTTACACAACTCTGCTCTGCACAAGCTCTTTCAGAAGAGATTTGGAGGCACCATCTGGAGGTAAAGATGACAGAGAGATTCCATGGAGTTTCCAGTTTCCTTTATAGGTAATTCCTGCAAAAGGGTGATTTAGTCCTGAGTCATTGCTACTAGGGATGAAAATACAAAAATGACACAACACACAAACATGTTCAAGGCTACAGGCTACAAATTTAATTGCTTCAAAGAAAAACATTCTCAGCTACGATGATGACCCAGTGCAATACAATGGTTCCCATGACTACTCATTTATTCCACAACAGAAATCTGAGCAAACCAGAGCCAATATCCCGTCCCCAAATCCCCCCAAACTGGTCAACAAAACTGAAAATGCCCAGGCAATCTTTTCTGACAAGTATGAGATAATTTCTAATGTATGTGTCCAGCTATAGGATCACTATTTCACTTCATGAATACAAATAATGTATTTTCCTGTTGATCACCTGCCATATGAAGGGAAAGGCTAAGTCACCCCTTGGACCAGCCCCTTGTTTCAGAAACATCAGAGACTATCACAGTTGCTCATACAATCCAGACAGATCACCCTTAAATTCATTCCATTGTTTTCAAGCAGAAATATTTTGGCCCCCCAAAACAGCAAGGCAACATCCTTTGAAAATGAGGGTCTGGTTACCATAAAGAACCAACAGTGCTGCATCCGAGTAGGAGATACTAACCTTCTTATCTTTGGGAGTGATCCATTTGAATTTGATCCAGAAATCTTTTCTGAGAGCTGCTCGTTATAACTAGACAAATACACTCCAAACTCTGAAACTTCTTTTGAAGGCATAATGGCAGGGAAACTTCACAGATGGGATTAGAAGTAAGATAATGAGGTAGCTTTGCAGATGTCTAAAGGAGCTCTTTCCAAATGTAAGGAATGGCATAGGATAAAGCTTGAAACTGAGTGACTGAAAGTCTAAGAAGTAGATGGAGGAGGCTGGCATCATGGGCTAATCAGTGAAAGAAGTGATTTCTTGATCCTGAATGAGAGATGATAGGTAGGATGAGGTGAAGCTATGAATGGCTTTGAAAGGGAAGACAAGCTGCTTATATCAGATAGAAAAGGAGTGTTATATTTGACAGTCAAAGTGATGGGCTAGGAAAATGATCTCTGCAGTGCTATGTAGTATAAAATCATCCCAGCAAAATTGCATTTGTCAAAACCAGATGAATGGATATTGCAGTAATCAACTGAGCTTGGTGATAATTTACATATATATTAATTCATGCATAATAATCATCATATAGTAAGTTCTATAACTCACTTCCATACAATTATTTTTAACAATTTTTGGAAACTTATGTTGAAGCACGTGCGGCATAGTGAAGTGGACATTTTGTTGGATATTTCTTATAAGATTCTTGTGCAACATTCTTGTAAAATTTCTAGTTTGCTAAAAGAAAAAAAATGACAGTCAACATTTTATTTTTTTTTCATAAAGTCTTCCATTTAAATACAATACCTGAGGACAACGCTCATATCCACAGCATATTACATGATGACTTTGCTGGTGGTCTTAGTTTATTCCTCTCTGGTAGCAGAGAAGAGGTTGCCCATGACAACTTGGAGATGACTCTGGCAAGTCTGTATGCTGGATAACACAGAGATCAAGTCACTAGCATACCATCTCCTAGACATGCAAATTTAACAGCCCTTCTCTGCTTTGTTTGGAACAGTACTAGGTTATAGTGTTTCTGGCTGTAATACACACAAAAAAAATCATTTTATTCCCTATTGTATTATATCTTTCACTTCCCCCATACAGAGACTGACTGCTGCATGCACATTCTTTCAGGGCTTTTCCTATTAATAGACAACTTGGCTTCACACGCTGAAATGAAGGAACAAGGTTTCGAGTGCCTGCCTAATTTAAGCAGACCATATGTCATAAGTTATAGTATCCTGTAAGTAGAGAATGAAATAAAGCAAGATTGAGAGGAAAAATAGCTTCCTACCATTAGCTGGCCTCTCTGACTCAATTTTTCAAAGACATTTATTTAAGTGTGATCAGAACTATTTACTTGTTCTATGCATCATGTGAAGTTATGCATATTTCTAATGTATTCTTAATGGGGATGCTGTCTCAGGAGTAGAAATTCTGAGCAGTACTAGAACACAACTAATAAGGTAATGATCCTGATGATTATTTTTTTTTTCCTGGAACTGCCTTTAACATTTTTTAGTGTGGCCAGCTTCACATTTTTCTGCTTTGGCTTTCCAGCTTGCAAGAACTGGAGTACAGTTGTTTACTATTTATTCGGTGTTCCATGATTGTAGGATAATGCCACAAAAGCTATTGCAAACTTTCTTTTGCTAATGTAAAATACACTATTGGATGAAGTTTTTTTTTTTTTTTTTTTTTTTTTTTTTTTTTTAAGCAAATTAAATTAATTGTTATTGCTTAACCAGCCCATCTCTGCTACACAGTTGAAAGAAATGTGCTCTTCCAGACTCTGAGTGGTTATATAATCAGCATTCCTCACAAATATTTGTCTCATTAGGACTAGCAATCACATTTTCCTGGCAAGTTGTCTAGTGCTGGGTGCAAAAACAGTCAGAGAACTAGAAAATGTAAAAATCAGGATTTCCATTTACTTCCTCCCACTCATCTCACACATTTCTACTGTATTATTTCTTCATTGCTTTGTCTTTCTCTAGATATCTCTTGAGAAGCAACATTGCCAGATCATATCTTTCATGTCAGAGAATGAATAAGAGCATGGTCAGCTGACAGGCATGCATGCTTGCATATTCTCAGGTTTTTAGGAAGTGCCATTCTGTACTTTCAGTATAAATCCAATTTTCATTACCTTACGATCCAAATTGGCATTGTCAGAAGTTTATATTGGTATGAAAAACAGAAAAGGAAGAAATTTCATAGCAGACATAGCTAAAAACTTCATTGTTTTCTTATTAGTTCTACTTGTGACCAAAGAGAAGAATAAAACATTTGTTGTCTCAAATGGAAGAGAAAAATCTTTGGAGAAGAAAATCTTTGGAGAGAAAAATTTGTTGGGAATGAGGAGGAATTTTTTGTGCATATTTTAACCAGTCATCATCTGGCTGCCTTATGAATTTGTAATACTGCATATTGTCTGCAGTTTAGATACTCAAAAATCAAAAATGAATAAAATTTAACAAATAAAAGCCACACATGGGAAAAAAATCTTCCCAATCAATTATTCACACTTGAAAATACTATAGTTAAACCTCACCTTTTTCTTCTACTTAATTTAGTTAGTAACTTAGACTTGAAGGTGATGTCTAAAGCTAAAAGAAAACAGCGATTATGGGAATAGGGAAGGCTGATTTTAATCAACAGTTGAACTTAGGACAAAGATCTAAGAAGTGGCACACTGTCCTTGAGGAAACAATCCATGGCTCTAGTCCTACAAACCCTTCTGTGCTTTATGCCTGTTTTATGTCCATAAGGACCAAGTTCAAATTTGTGTGATATCCAAGAGAAGGGAAAAAAAACTGAAAAATCACCTTTGATTGTCTATTGGACAGACTGTTCATCCTGCCCTATTTCATGGTAATGCATCAACCTACTGCAATTCTCTGTGAATTTCTAGCCATTTGGAGACCCACTAAAAGGTAGACTCACCTGATATTCTGTGCAGAGTTACAGGTCAGGAGTCTGCACTTTGCAGCCATGTTAATCTGCTGCCTAACTGTATAAGCTCATCTGCATCCATACAACAAAATCTGTGTGTTTGGGTCACTATGTCCTTAATTTCTGCAAAAGAAAACCAGGTATTTAACCAGGCATTTTGGTATTTCGGTTTTAAAGCACTGAGATTTTTTTTTTAATGCTTCCCCTTTTGCTAGTGGAGATGTAATTTAAGGAACCATGTTGGCACATCTCGTAGACAACATCTTGGAAGTTTCCTTAGAAGCCTAGCAAACAAGGGCCTGGAGTTAAACTACTGAATTTGCTCCAGCTTGCTCAATGCAAAAGAGAAACTGAAAAGTCAGGCTTTCTCTGTGTTCTGTTTGAAGAAAGAATTGTGATTGTTGGCAGAGGAAGGAAGGAACTAGGACAAAACAAGGGAAGGAAGAAGTTGTTTTTTATTTTTCACCAGCCAGCTCCTTAATTTTTGCTGCCAAGAGCATAACTCTAGTTTACAAGACAAACATAAATCTATTTAGATATTATTTAAATTTAACTTAAATTACAGAAAATGATGTCATTTGGGATGAATTCTTTGAGTATATAAAGAAGGGAAAACGAAGAAAATACACATACAAGACAAAGGTCATAGTAATGTCAATAGAAAATGTTTCCAGTCAAAAATAAAGTTTCTGTTCACATTAAATTATTTTAACACATTCCATATTTGTTTGTTTTTTAATATTATCTCTTATTACAGAAATATGGTCAGAGATCTAAACGTACTTAGGTGTTTCAGTCTAAACATTTCAACAAGGTATCCTTGAAGCTCAACACTGAAGGAAGCTTCCCTGTAGTCCTCCTTGAATAACATATATATGTTTTGGACATAACTAGGACCAAAAAATGTCGAAACAAAATAATTATCTAGATAAATTAGTTAATTGCTGCAATTATTTAATGTAACATCTTTTAAGATTCATGATAATGGTTGATGTCATGAGATAAGTTGTGAAGATCTTTCCTGCAGAAACATTTACTGGAAAACATTACTCCAGCTGTTATAGCCTGATTTTGAATATATTACCATTATTTACAAAAGCCCACCTCAAAGATAGGCAAAACCCATATTTTTTGGTGGGGAAACCCTATTAAACCACATTTTGTAATGTGACACCCTATTACAAAAATTGGCCACTCACTTACATGCCTTAAAATGACCTATTTATCCAACCTTCACAGAAGAAATTAAAGAAAAAAAAATGTTTACAAACATTCAAAAAAAACTACCTTTTTTTTTTTTGTTTGTTTATCGCATTATAGCTACAACTCTGACCACAAAGAGAAACAAGAATT